GCGCTCCTCGAAGAGATCAAAATCCTCCATCGAGGTAATCGGCGAGGCCACCAAGCACTCCGTCCGGGGTGGCGGCATTGATATAGGTGGTGTAGACGGGTCTACCTGCTGCACACCCCTCTGGGCAATGAGGATGGCCACTTTAGATTTTAGATCTCGTAAATGATTATCTATCTGGCACATCCAAGCCAGCACATGATCTGGAGTGCCCGTGTGGTGGGACGCGGACGGAGCTGGAGAGGCCGCCGCCGAGTTCTTACCTAATTTATGTCTTTAAAGAAGGGTAATGTCTAGTTTACCTGCTGGGGTCCCTAGAAGTGTACCATTCAAAGTACTTCGCTAGGAAGGTGGTGGGGGGCCCAGGTCAAATTCAAAATTTGGTAGCCCCTCCTCCACGTATTCAGGACCTGGGGTCTTGCGTTTTATAAGCCGTCCGCTCCGACTGTAATCAACTTGCTTCTGCATATCAGACATTGCTGCAATCTAAAATGTAAAAAAAGAACCCCTGAAGTGGGTAATGGGGTGGGGGAGGCACTTACCTCGTCCTGCACGCCTGCGTTTGCAAAACGGTAATGGCGGCGTAAAATACCAATATCTGCTCTTTTAGCGTCAGCGTTGGAATTGGCCAGATTCCGCAGCTGCATAGCCACCTTGAGTAAATTACGCTGAGAACATTTTTTGCTAAAAGTCAAGTAAGAAAAAAACGGATCCTATGAGTTCACCGGAATCATACGGGTGGGGTATTCATACCTTGAGAAGCGGCCAAATGTAAAAGGTTAGCCAGTCTACTGTCTCACAGGATTCGTGGAAACAAGGGATTGCAAGGGTGCGGCAAAGCAAGGGAGGGGTAGGCGCACGATAACTTTGTAAAGATAAACAAGTTCAGGCCGCCACCTAGTTTCGTTTCGAAGAACTGCCGAATAAGTGCTGATTGTCACTTAAAAATAACTGGGACGAGTGAAAAATTAAGACTAAAAGGTAAAAACGCCTGTTTAACGGTAAATTGCTTTCAACAAAACCAGGAAGCCACATCAGCCGCAGCCTCTGCGAATCGGGAGCCCTAAACTGCACGGCCGAAGTAGCCAAACCTTTCTATTAATGAGGAGTCTCTCTCCATTATAGACACGCTTATTTCCCAACTTCCAGTTGTAGCGTCCGGGAGCACGGTAATTTTAGTGGACCTCCGTCAAGCAGGGCAAATCAAAACCGAAATAGCAAACCCTAATAGAGTGCGCATCGCCATGCGCCCTACGAAGGCGGGCGGCCATTGCTTGGTACGCTATCTGTCCCAATGTGTACTCTCATGCCCTCCAGATGGAAGCTCGTACGGTTGGCGGACCGGGCGTCAAAGTGCAAGTGGCGGAAGCTCTCATATCTCAGGCCAAGTGCAATCGCGCCCTGCGCCGCCACTGCTACCAGGAGTGGATACTAGACCTGGAGCGAAGGAAGGCCGTATATGATTAGTTAAACAATCGCAGCTGGAGATGGCTAAGGGAGGGCAGATATGCCCCCAACAGCATCATTATCACAGACGCATGGACGGCCTACAAGAGCCCTTCCTTCAAACGGCAAACCACTCCAAGTAATTCGTCGACCTCACTATTAGGATTCACATAAATATCATGGAGGCATACTAGAGCTGGCTGAAATGAGGACTGCGCCGCTGTGGACCGGTGACTGACGGAGCCCCGTGTGCTCACATCGAAGAGGTCCAGGATCGGCTTTTGTGCGACTGCATGCCATACCGCGGGCCTGCGATATGTTTGCACAAATGTGGTCCGTGAATGATGACCTGGATAGGTGTCACAAACTGTTTAGTTTGCCGGACCTTTAGAAATTGACCGGAGTGCACATTAACGGCAGATGAATATAAACCTCTGAGTAGAGCACTGGCAGGCAGCCGCATCGTCTGTGGTAGGCGGCGGGTCACCAAGCAGTAGCTGGATAATAAATAGCAGTGCTGAGTAACCAGCCAACGGGCAAGGAAGAAAGCAGTATGGTACTATGATTCAATAACTCTGTGTAAGGCGCTTCAATGTTGTCGTCTGGGTAAAAGCTTCACCACACACCCGACACACATTTGTTCGCAGTTCATTGTGAACTGCATCAAAGTGCCTAGTTAGTGGCAGCTTCTAGTTAAAGTCCTTGCGGGATAGATGGCATTCTAATAAACGCAGTCAGACACCTGGAGAGGTCTGATTAGTGAGGTTGGACGAAATGCTAACCGTGTCGTTACCCTTCAGTCTTATTTTTAGGGGTAGCAGGCCAAGCAGGCTGCATCTACGCAACTGCGTCCATGAAAGTGCAAAAATTCCAGCCTTTTTTTGCAATGCCACCCCCAGAACTCGCGCTTCTCTTAGCTGCTTGGCAGTTAAGGTACACATCTGCATTTCCCTCAAATAAACTGAGTTTACATGCCAGGTGTATCGATTGGTCGGCTGCGTACAGAGCCCTGCGCAGTCACGTCCAGGCATGCGTTGCTGACAGGTATATATATGTTTATTATGCCAGCTGTAAAGAGTTGGTAGTGCACCTCTTGGGCGCCTTCCAAAACCTCGAAGACCACTGAGTAAACAATGTGCTTAATTGTTATAATAATAATAATATGTTTATTATGTCAGTTTACAGGCAATTAAGTTGGTAGAGCACCTCTTGGGCGCCTTCCAAAACCTCGAAGACAGGAAAAACCTAATATATATAATATTTTTTATGCCAGTTTACAGGCAATTGTAAAGAGTTGGTAACGCACATATGTTTATTATGCCAGTTTAAAGGCGATTTTAAAGAGTTGGTAGAGCACTTTCATGGTTTATTATGCCACTTTACACGCAATTGTAAAGAGTTGGTATTGCTCCTCTACGGTGCCTTCCAAAAACTCGAAGACAGGAAAAAACCTAAAACAAACTCCCTATGTTGCAGCCAGTATTACGAAGACCGGAAAAAACCTAAAACAAACTCCCTATGTTGCAGCCAGTATTGGCGGCAATTGAAAAGAGTTGGTAGTGCACCTCTTGGGCGCCTTCCAAAACCTCGAGACAGGCAATTGTAAAGAGTTGGTAGTGCACCTCTTGGGCGCCTTCCAAAAACCTCGAAGACCCCGAAAAAACCTAAAACAAACTCCCTATGTTGCAGCCAGTATTGGTTTTGTTTCGGGTTTGTGTTTTGTCAATACTGGGCAAGATAGGGAGTTTGTTTCAAGTGAAAAACATTGTGTTTTTGTCAAAATACTGGGCGAGATAGGGAGTTTGTTTCAAGTGAAAAAACCTGACTTCAAGCACTGGGCGAGATAGGGAGTTTGTTTCAAGTGAAAAAAACCTGACTTCAAAGGGGAGATAGGGAGTTTGTTTCAAGTGAAAAAAACCTGACTTCAAGGGTATGATAGACCAGTATTGGTTTTGTTTCAGGTTTTGTGTTTTGTCGATACTGGGCGAGATAAGAGTATGTTTTTCAAGTGAAAAAAACCTGACTTCGAAGGTACGATACAAACGGAATATATGTGCAGTTGTAAACTGAGTTGACACCTCAGCAGGTGAAAAGTTGCATATCGTTTAGGGACATTAGTTCGGGACGGGGAGGGTTGGCA